ACAACTTTGTTGATCAGATGTCTTTGCGATGCAAAACTCGCAAAGAATAATATGAAGTCCGACTGGGGTATGGAGTAATCCTCATGGAAAGAATAAAATTCTTCCAATATGATCGGCATGAAGTAAACCAATGTGACTATCCAAGGTTGGGTTGTGGCAAAAATTGGTGTTAAAAAAAATAATTGGTTTAAAAAAAATAATTAGTTTTAATAAAAAATAATTGGTTTTAAAAAAAAGCTAATAAAAAAATTGGTGTTAAAAAAAATTAATTGCCTAAATAAATAAAAAAAATTGGCTGAAAAAAAAAATTGGTGTAAAAAAAATGGTTGTAAAAAAATAAATTAAATGGTGTTAAATAAAAAAAATAAGTTTTTTTTAAAAAAAAGAGGGGGAGGGCTAATGAGAAGAAGGAAGAGGAGTAGGGAAGGAGGAGGAAGAAGGAAAGGAGGAAGACGGAGGGAGGACTGGAGTCGAGAGGACTGCAGTGGGACAAGGGGTTGCGGGTCAATAAGCAGTTGCGGATGAGAAGTGTAGGTACCGAAGTTGAGAGGGGTAAGTTGCGGATGGAAGGCTGGTTGCGGATGATGCGAAGTCAAGGAATGGTTGCGGTAGGAGGAGCAGTTGAGCTGCGGTGCGAAGAGGAAAGATGCAACTGCGGTCCGAGACTGCGGTAGGCGCAGACTGCGGTCCGAACTGCAGAAGGGAATGATTTCGGTCCAAAGGAAATCCGAAGCTGCGGTAGGGTTGAAATCCAAGGTTCGGTCTGAAGCCAAAAGAAGGAATAACTTCGGTCAGAAGAAGAATGGTTGCGGTCAGCAGACTTCGGTTTGAGAGGGGTACCTCAGCTGATAGGGGGTTCCGGTAGCTGAGAAGGGCTCCGGTAGGCGTTTTTTGCTGTGGTTCTGGGGGCCAAGAAGGGCTGGTCTGATGACGAAAAATGTTATTTTTCATGAAAAAATGATACCGAAAAGGCCATTTATTCATATTTTAATGAGGGGAATCTTTTCTAAAGCATTTTGAGTCAAAAAGAGGTATTGGGAAGGCAAAATGGAGAGTGTGCAGGTGGTTTTAAAGGGACAAAAAGGTGATGAGATTGGTCAAGTAACATGGTTTTTTTGTCTTTTGAGGGAATAATAAATGGAGTACTCTTTCCAAATAAAGTAAAGAGGACATGTGGCTTTATGCAAACACATAATCACGTCCAAACTCTACATATTAAAGATTCACAGCAACTTTTGAGTTGAAAGATATGAATATCATACCTTTTTTTGTGAAGAACATAAGATGTTGCTGGAAATAAAAACTTCAAGGAAAATTGCTTTTCTCCACTTTCTTCAATAAAAGCCCATAATTTGTGTCTTGTTTCCAAGGCATAAATAAAATGCCTTGAACAAATCTTCAAAAGTTTTAAGACAACAAAATTTCTTCTCCCCTTTTCTTCTTCTTTTCTTCAACAGCAACATAAGAACATTCTGAACATGATTTTCCAGCAGAAAATGAACAAGCATCAGCAACTATTTTTTTTTATTCTTCTAAGCATGATTCAACACATAAAAATAGAAGAACTCATCATAAAAATTTCCGGTTTGAGCCCGAAAATTCTTGCAAAAAATCCGAAAAATCTTCAAGATAAACACCGAACGGGAGTCGTTCCCTTGAACTAGTCGTTTGAACCTTCAAGGTACGGCTCTGGTCCCAATTGTTGAACCCATTTTGACGATCGGTGGATGCGGAATAATAATATCTCGATATTTAACGAACATCAAAATGAAGAACATAAAGATGAGTAGTTCCATAAACTAGAAAAGAGATAAAATATTGGGATAATGACTTAAAAGGGTAACATATTATTCGATTTGTACACATTTAGTCATTGAGTTTTTTTTTCGTCCACATTTACCCCTTAAACTTGTTAAACTGTACACATTCAGTCCTTATGACCTGTTACTCCAGGTTAGCCGGGAAAAATGACTTGATAGGGTAATATATTTTTCATTTTGTACACATTTAGTCCTTAATATTTTTGTACATATTTAGTCCTTAACATTTTTTTTGTTTCAAAATAAGTCCTTTTTTTGTACTCATTCAATACTTATGAATGATTTCTTTAGGTTTTTTTCACGACATCTTACGTGAGACAATCATTGATGAGGTGCTTGGGGTTGTTGATGTTTATGTCCAATGCGATCTCGACTGCTTGGTTGCGTAAGTCTTGTGGTTTGGCTTAGGTCTTGTATTTTGAACATCGTAACTTCTTCATACGATATCAGATTTTAAGGATCTTTATCCACGTGTTCATTTTTTGAGTCTACTACAACTTTCATTAAGATTACTCCCGTTAAAATGTAATATATTTTTACTCACGATTTTATAAAAAAAGATACATACATGCATTCATAAAAAACGTATGGACAAGGGAAGACGCAATAATACATAGTAGGTGTTGCCGAGATGAAATAGGTGTTGCCGATACATGGAAAATAGGTATAAACGTAAAAAAAAAGCGAAAAAATTTCCACTGCAAACAGAAAAAACAAGTGTTGTCGGTGCAACACTGGGACCATACTAAATCCACCACCGCGTATGGATATAAAAATCGTAAGTAAAAATATATTATTTTTTAATGGGAGTAATCTAAATGAAAGTTGTAGTAGAATAAAATACGAACGCATGGATATAAAGATCGTTAAAATCTGAGATCATATGAAGAAGTTATGACGTTCAGAACACATGACCTAAGCAACCAAGTAGTTGAGATCGCGATGGATATAAGCATCAAAAAGCCCCATACACCTCATTAATGAATGTCCCACGTAAGATTTCGTGAGAAAAAACTAAAAAATCATTCATAAGTACTGAATGAGTACAAAAAAAATGACTTATTTTGCAAAAAAAAAAGGACTAAATGTGTACAAAAATATGAAGGAGTAAATGTGTACAAAGTGAGAAATATATTACCCTATTAAGTCATTTTTACCGGGTAACCTGGAGTAGCCGGTCATAAGGACTGAATGTATACAGTTTAACAAGTTGAATGGGTAAATGTGGACGAAAAAAAAACTCAGTGACGAAATATGTACAAATCGAAAAATATATTACCCTTTTAAGTCATTATCCCTAAAATATTACATGAAAAACATTGTTGGGAGAGATTCCACCACTTTCTCTCTCTCTAGAAAACTACATTATGTGCATACTTACAAATAAAATGACCAACTCTCTCTTTATATAGGAGAGAGAAAACACCAACAATACAACAAAGGGAAATAATAAACCTAACTATCACTCATAATTTGTAGAGCATTTACATGCTCCAACAATTAAGAAAAAGTTGATAAACTCTGATCTTGGTTATTGTTGAAGACTTTCTGTTTCCCATGATCAAGTTTATCCTTCATCGCTCCACCTCCTCACTTTCTTTTAGCCCCTGCAAATCAGAACAGATGTGAAAACCACATCGTGTACCAAGGACCCAAGAACAAGAAGATAATGAGTTATTAGAAGAAATAGTGTAAATACCTGCTGAAGATGGCTTCACCCATCTTTGATGTCCTGCAGATACTTTGGGCAGCTTCGTTTCCAGTTCCCCTTGTCATTGCAATAAAAGCAATCAACATCCTTTGGATCAGAAGCATGGGGAATGACAGCATTGGGCTTGGCCTTTGGGCCACTTCCAGATGACCCATCTTGGGCCTTGCACTTCCAATTTTGCTTAGGAGGACATTTCCTCTTTTTCCCCTTTCTTTGTCCAATAGCCAAGACGGGGGCACTAGCAGGAGTGGAGGGTATACTTTTACCTTTCATTCCTGCCTCAGTTGTCTGCAACAAGTTGTGCAATTGGGCCAATGTCTGGTCAATGTTGTTCAAATGGTAAGTTAGGATGAACTCACTACTAGAAAAATAGCCTTTTACGACGCGCAATGTGTGTCGTAAAACGCTCAGACGACGCGCAAATGCGTGTCAAGGAAGGCCCTGTCATAACGAGAGACGACACGCTTTGCGTGTCGTCTATTTACGACGCACATTTACGATGCACATTTATGACACGCTTTTACGACGCGCAGTTACGACGCGCAATGCGTATCAAGGAAGGCCATGTCATAAAGGAAGACGACACGCATTTGCGTGTCCTAACCTTACGACGCGTGTGTTTATGACACGCAATGCGTATCAAGGAAGCGCCTGTCATAAATGAAGACGACACGCATTTGCGTGTCATAAACTTCAGTAACCATTTTCGATATGCATTTACGACTCGTCTTTACGGTACTCATTTACGCATAATACAAAAATATGTAAACAAATATATACCAAAACAATCAATTTCATCCAATAACATCATGTCAAAAAATTGTAATACATTGATATTAAGGGGATCTAATTGTACATTGTTATTAAGAAGTTTTCCCTAACTATATAACCTAATACTACATTGCTATTAAGGGACACCTTCTGTAATGTAATGCTATACAAACTAAAAAGATATACACAAAGATGATAAATATCAAATTCCAGCTAAGTAGAGTTGCATCTTGCCTTTCATAATTCTTTAAGACTAATGAACCCCTGCTCCGATAATTCTTGTGACCTGATCAAATAAAAGTCAAAAAATTAATATGCTAATATAATTATTAGAAGAATCAAACATGGAATGTTAGTTGTAAAAGAAGAAATTACCCTTTTCTCCATCCAAAGAATGTGGGACCGCACTTGAGATATGATATTTGATCCATGTGGTGTTCTGGGTTCCATTAAAACCTGATTTGCATTGAAAAATTTGCATAAGTGTGTATCGATAGCAGATAACTTTCACTACTACAAAAACAGCCTTTTAACAATTTTCTTTGCAGGAGTAGCAGCAGCTCCATTTCTAACAACAACAGGTTTCTTTGCAGCCTTGGCATCCTTCTGTATGTGTGAATGAATTAGTTCTAAAGGTGAAAAGACTTCACACAGTAAAAATTGTACACAAAACCAAAAAGCTCTCTTACTTCATCACTTCACTTGGCTTTCTTGGTGGCTGCAACAACACCATTCTTTGCAACAGCAGCTGGCTTTTTTGGCGCCTCCTAAATTAAATAGAAGAATACTTAGAAAAGTGGAGAACAGCATGTATCATGTAGAGCATGCTACTAACAAGTGACAAAATTAATGTGAAATTAGATAAACTGTATCCAAGTGCCAAGAGATTTACAAACTCTGACTCACTTCTTCATCTGATGAATCACTATCATCCGATGATTCAGATTCAAATTCAGACTCATCCGAACTACTTTTAGGTTTACTAACAGGTTTTTTATTCGATCCAATTTTAGCTGTAGGGGCGGACTATTTCTTAGGTTTAGGTTCCTGCAACATGTTAAAAAGGCTTGTAGAAGGGTGAAGAATAAAATAAACGATTTTTTTACAACATGTGACAATGACTTCATATTCAACTTCACTTTGCTGATCCATGGCATCTGAGATCTCTTCTTTTAAGTTCTATTTCAAACAGACATAAGAGGAGAGAAAATAATCAGCATGAACAAAAAGACATAAATATAAAAAAGTTCAAATTTTTAATAAAAAAACTACCATTTATCACCCCAAGTTCTGCACAAAGGTTAGAAACTTCTCCATCTCTTGTCTGTTGTGAAAAGAAAGCTTGGCTATGTCCAGGAGGTCATGGCCATGTCCATTTTACTCCAGGAGGGTATTCCTATAATTTTGTGCAACAGCATTAAAAGTGGACACTTTACTTTATTTAAAAAACATTTAATAGAAGCCTACAAACTTGGCATGACAATGTTGGAGGCAATTTTAAAGAATGATATTGCATTGACTCATTAAGTAGACTGTTGACTACTAATGGCCCAGTTATAGCCTTCAGGTAGAGAAGAAATGAAGTCATGAGCATAGGCTTGTTTGGCTGCATCTGCCCATCCTTTGTTCCTTTGCACCACTGCCCCTGCCCTTCATGAATTTCCTTTTTGACAATCTGATTTCTCCCTTGTTTTGAAACTTGAAAGAAATCAATTGAATCAAAAGCTTTCATACTATTTGATATCAAAACAAACATGAAACCTTTCTAAATGTAATATATAATCTAGTCGTTCTAAGCATTTTCACAAGTCCATCACCAAATCTTTTAACAATATATAAATCATATCAGCAAATATGGATCCTTTCATTTTACTTTTGTTAACACCTACTTAATAATTAAGAACCATTGATCTGTTGCTCCAACTTTTTGTCTTGATATCTCTTATTTGAAAAACACAGGAAATAGGGCAAACATGTTCAAAAGTGAAAACCATACGCTCATATGATGAATTTAATTTCTTACTGTCCTTAATCTGCTTTCAGTTAGAAGCATCTTCTACTTATTTTCTCGTATATTTTTTTATTATGATGCAAGAATTCAGGGTTTCTTCAACAAAACTTAATGTATTGTTGTACATGTATTTAAAAATCCTAAAGAACTAAGAACAACCATTTTATAAGATGATGATGATAGAATCATGAGATTTGAATACCTGAGTAAAGTGGTCGGATTCTCCACATATTTTACAAATCATTTCTTATTCTTTTCGTTTCTTCCAATTCCTTTCAGTAGCTTTAGATTTCGCCTCCCAGACCTTAGCTTCCCTACTAGTAAAATCATTGGGAACAACATTCGGCTCAGGTTCCCTCCTCTTCATCAGAGCCAACATGGGACCTTTTGTTTGCCCCCCCCCCCCAGACCCACTTACGATTAACTCCAATAAGGATACTGTTTCTTATAAAATCAAGGTTCATGTATGAAAACAAGCTGTGAACTGTGTGGAATGCATGAAAGAACTTAGGTACCTTTAAAATAAAAGGTCATCATAGCGTTTTAAATATGTTTGCAGAACTTAATACTATACTATTCTGCTTAGCTTCTACATCAAATTTGTAGTTTCACCTTAATCCACTACCGAAGTGATAAAAGTGCCCAAAATAGAACCAATACTGAATTAGACAAATCCAAAAGTAAAAAAAGTTGAACCCCAAAATCTCAACGATCATATGGCTAAAGTTACTTTTTACTTAAGATCACATGAAAAATGGCCAAGCGATAAAAACTTACCCGATGCAGCATTTGGAGATCAGAGGCTGAGCACTGTATTGAATGTTAAGCAACAACGAACAGAACCATACTCTTGTGTTAACACCTGAGTTCTCCGAATAATTCTTTGAATTCGAGGTTTCATATTTGGTCGACGCCATTGATGAGGAGACCTCGCAGATCAGTTACGATTCACCTTCGTTTTATCTTCTTGTTCTCCTCTGGATGATTTCAGACTTCGTCTCCACGCTTTACATGATATTTTTCAAAAAGTAGTCTCTGTGGAGCATTGGGGTTTTTCTTTATTTCATAACCCTCGCACGTACTGGGTTGAGAGAAAACGAGAGAAGCGGAAGCTTGGAAGAAAATAAAACCCTAAAACGTGCTAGAGAGAAGGGAGGTGGCGATTGGTTAGGGTTTACAGAGAGACGGGAGGTAGAGAATGAAGGGAGATCTAGAGGAGTGAGTATCGGAGAGGGAGATTCGATTGCGAAGATGAAAGATAGAAAGAAGGTAAAAAGAACGAGGCGGGTTTTCAAAATTTTGGGGATTTTGATTCCCCCCTTGTCTACTAAACGCGCGTTTCATTGAAATTATAAAGCGACAGGTACAGACGACGCGCGTTTAAGATAAAGCGCCCTCCGTGTTTTTTTTATTTTTTTTCTTGAGACACTAATTTAAGGGCATGCAATAATGTGTGACGTAAATCCTTAAAATTTTTGGAGAGATGACACTATTTTAAGGACACTCTCGTTTGCGTAACATAAATCGGTGTGTGTCTTAAATTGCGCGTCGTAAAAGGCTGTTTTTCTAGTAGTGACTAACCATAACAATCAGGTAATGAGTTCAAGACCATGTCAATGGCCAATTCCTCATCAAACTGTACGTTGAGCTTGACCAAACGCTCTATGTAGCGTTGCATTCTTTGCACATGACTGACAACCAAGTCCCCATCCTTCATCTTACAAGCCATGAGTGATTTGAGTACCTCGAACTTCTCTTGACGAGCTCGCTTATGGTACTTTTCCATAAGGTCCTTGTTCATCTCAAAGGGCCAGTAGTCCTTATAGTATTTCTGCAGTTCGGGAGACATGGTTGCGACCATGATGCAAGACACTTTCGTTGCATCGTCATAATGCTTCTTGTAGGCAGCATATTCTTCAGGAGTGGCTTTGGTTTCATCAATCTCAATGAGCTCCTTTCAAGGACATACTCTTTGTCCTCAAATTGAAGCGCCATTTTAATGTTACACATCCAGTCTTTATAGTTCGTGCCATCCATAACGACTCTGGAGCAAATGGAGAGCAAAGAGAAACCTTGGTTGGAGGATGATGAAGCAAAAGTGTTTCCAGGAGGATACATTTGAAAAGAAAGATAATTTTAGTTAGATTTCAAGATACCTCAATATAATGACCCAAAGAAGCAATATTAAGGTTAGGATCCAACTATGAGGATTCACAACTTAGAAATGGGATGCCGAGATCCAAGTGTAAATATCATAAAGGTAGGTGAATGATGATTCACCAATTCCACCATTAGACGAAATGAAATGAAGTGAAATTCCTAATTCTTTTGAGATACATTGAAATTATTCAATGACATGTTTTAATCTCAGATTATGCTCTTCTATTTGTGACTGGGATACCGAGGATCACAGAGAAGATGTGAATAACCATGCAAATGTGCTTGGAACCTCATTGTCTTTATCATCTTCTATTGATGTGCTAGTAAACCACACACGCTCCATCAACAATGATAATTATGAGATACCTATCATGACTCTTTATTAGTCCCTATTAGTGTGATGGTTAACCACATACGCTCCACTAACGACTTATAAAGTGTAATGTGTAATTTCATGGGTTAGCATACAATTCACGTTTTTCCTAAAGTAACTAGAGTTGGGATTTTGTAAAAATAATGTTCTAGTACTTTATTAATAACATTACACTTTTAATGAGATTAACTTCTCCTATCAAATCCGTTTTGCTAACGACCTTCCACTAATCAAGGAAGCGGTGGGTGAGAGTGGACACCCATTCAACTACCATTTTATAGGCAGTTTCCTTATACCCCCTTATAGACTAGCTTCATGAATGAGGCATACTAGCGATTCGACTGACCAATTCTTATACATATATAACATTTAACTTTTAATTATAATATATATACATTGTGTTTTAAAATTTTTAAAACTTTAAGGTTTAAATGAATTTTCAAAAAATTAGACTATTAATTTTAAATTCAAGATAAACCAAAACTAGATTCAATAATTATCTATTAATTAACTTTTAATTAATTTATTAAATCTTGGGAGGATTATCTAATTAAATTAAACAATTAATTTAATCCTAATCCTAAACCCTCTAGATTTCGAAAATTTTGGGCATAGGATAACTTCCTTATTTTATCAATTATCCAATTAATCCAATTAAGTAACAATTATCCAAACAAGGAACCATAAAACCCTAAGGTAATTTCGAAATCAATGGAGGGAGGCTAGGGTTTTTCAAAACCCTAACCCTAATTTCGATTAGGGTTTATGGGTAGTTTTTCGTAAAGCTAAACCAAAAACTAAAAACAAATTAGAAAACAATTCCTAAGTTCACATGCAACCTACTTTGGATCTATGTTTTAACTATTGAACATATAACTTTGAATTGCAAAAACAAGAACCCTAAGGGAAGAGGCTATTTCGAAAATAACTAATTAGGGTTTTAGAATGACATGCCTTTCAAATGTTAAAGTAAACAATTGGTAATCCTTAGATCTTGATCTTCTTGGAAGCCTAGCACCACAATTGTAATGCCTCTAATGGAATCACACCTAAGAGCTAGCATGAAGGAAACTGTAGAGAGAGAAAGAGAGGAGAGAGTATGCAATTTCGGCCTAGGGTTTCTTCAAGAATAAGGAGTGTTTGAATTTGGGAGCTAGAAGGCTCCTTTTTATAGTTGAGGTAGCTAGGGTTTAAGGGATAACCCTAATGTTCCTTTGCTTAAGGCCCAAGCTAATCCAGAAGCCTTATCCAAGGCCCTTGGATGAAATCATTAGGGTTTCCCCTATGAATTTCATCCACATCCTTCAAGGAGGTGCTAGAACATTCCTTCCAACTATTCAATAATTGCAAACTAGTCCCTGTACTTTATAATTAATACAATTAACCCCAAAATCAATTCCAATTAATTTTTGGATAACTATTAATTAAATATTATGATTTATAATTAATATATTATTTTCATAGCATATTAATAAATCATTTATATTAATTTATTAATCTTATAATAAATTAAGCTCTCTCCTTTCATAATTTCCTTGTCCAATTGATAGGCTTGAGGGCAACCCAAAAGGATTGTGCTGGTATCAATTGAAGTACATACCAATTATAGTTATGGGCTTAGACACCTAATCCAACACAAGTTTGAAGCTTTGTACTCACAAATGTCCATAAATGATGTAATCTTGTTGGATCTATGCTTCATCCTTCTTCCATACACTTTGTCACCACCTTGTTCTTTAAGATCCCACCTTCTAATGGAGAAATAAGCTCATAAATGATGCCAAGGCTCAAAATAAGCGATAGGAGCCTTTCGAGTTAGAGGCTCAAGAGGATGAAGGATCATGATAGAAAGGACCCCCAAGGGGTTAGAGACCCTAAATAGGGCTCAAAACCATGAAAATAGGTTTTTACTCTACGGCCGTACGCCCATCGTACCTAAAGTTACGTCCAACATATTGCCCTAAAACGCGTTCCTTTAGCCTAGTACACCCAGTGCACTGTTATACTCACTATTTTCAGCTTAACTTCAAATAGCTATAACTTCTTCGTTTCAACTCCACTTTCGATGATCTTTATATCCACTGAAAGGTATCGACGAGCTCCACAATCCTATCTAATTACTTTTAACTTAAAACATTCCAAAGTAAATGTAATATCCTGGCGTCGAGGTAATTCCAAATTTTAGCCC